GATACAGATAATACTAACATAAGCCATTTTTATTATTTTAACTAGGATTGGTAAAATGGCTCATCTGAGCAATATTTTTATTAATATGCACATATTACTTTAACTTCTAAATGTCACGGTTTCGGGTTTTGTTTTTGTTTTAGAAATAGCGTCTCACTCTTTCACCCAGGCTAGAGTGCAGTGGCACCATCATTGCTCACTGTAACCTCGAACTCCTAGCCTCAAGCCATTCTCTCACCTCAGCTTCCCAAAGCACAGGGATTATAGCCATGAGCCACCATACTCAGCCTGTTTTTCCTATTTAGTTTGTGTGTTTTATTAACCCATCTTGTCTTCTGGTTTGTCGAAACAGTAAGTCAGACAACATTTGCCACAATGATGTCTTTCAAAGCGGCTGGCCATAAAAACTCCAGCACCGCATTCATCTGAATGGCACTCTCTACAAAACTGACTAATTTTGCCATTCTTGTCCACCTTGTAATATTTTAGGACAGTTAGCTTAAATTTCTCCTGACCTCGGGTGATCCTCCTGCCTTAGCCTTTCAAAGTGCTGGGATTACAGGCGTGAGCCACGGCGCCCAGCCAGCTTAACCTTCTTTCTCTTATGCTTATTCTTCTCGGCAGTGGTTTCAGACATCTTCCTTGGCACAACCGCAGAGTCTCAACATAATAAGAGTGGACTCCTTTTGAATACTGTCATCAAAGTACATCCATCTTCCAATCGCCTACCAGCAAAGATCACTCCATGAGTAGGAATTCCTTTCTTACCCTGCCAGGGCTTGACATTTTGTATTGTATTGGAGAGTTCAAACAATGAACCCCAACAAATAAGAGAGCGGTGTCTTCCCCACTACAAAAATCTGCATCTAAGTAGCAGTTCTACTGCAGATGGCAGATCACAAAGCCCACATTTTTAATGTTAAGAACAAAGTGTCAGGATTTCATAAGAAAACCAGACCATGATGCAAATGCCTTGACTGCCAAGAGTATATTATTTCCCGACACATGATCATTTTCTTTCTTCATCAGAGGAAAAGAATGAATGACACATTATTGAACATACTCTAAACCACATCCAAATGTTGCAACCAAATGGGGGAAATGATTCCCAGAGCTGAAAGTAGCCAATGCAACTGAATACAACTCCTGCTCTCTCTCCAGTTGAAACATTCAACTTTTGAGGTTACTCTTTGCTCTTCTGCTTAGAATCTGACAAACCAATGCTGTCTTTCATTAGAAACTCTCCAATAAATCCTTGTAAGCTCCAAATATTCAGAATTATCTGGTGGCCATCAGACACTCCTTGCTATGTCTGACAAACTCACTATAATTCAGCTTTTCTAATTTTCGTAGAAATAAAAATTAAGAGATCAGACCAAGATGCCAGTTAGCAACTTTTTAAAAATTAAGAAATCAGTTGATTGTGAAGCCTGACCTACATGTTTTTATACACATTTTCAGCTTACCAATATTTAACCATTACTAATATTATTGCTATTATTATTTTCTATTAATTTGTAAACTATTACAGTTTTTTTTCTATTATGGTAAACTGGTTTTTTAATTACTTAGAATGGTAGTTTTTAAATTGTTTTTTTGTTTTTGTTTGTTTTTAAGACCAGTCAAGTGAAGGAACAAAGAAATCTGTAACTGGTTGGGATCAATCAGTTGTGAACACCACTGCACTCAGACCAGCCTCCAAAGTTTTATTAAGCGTCTCTGGGTATGGTTGCCAGATCTAGCAAATAAAAATAAAGATAGGCCAGTTTGATTTGAATACTGGATAAACAAATAATTTTTTTTGAGATGGAGTTTTGCTCTTGTTGCCCAAACTAGAGTGCAATCGCATGATCTTGGCTCACTGCAACCTCCGCCTCCCATGTTCAAGTGATTTTCCTGCCTCAGCCTCCTGAGTGGCTGGGATTACAGGTGCCCACCACCACGCTCAGCTAATTATTGTACTTTTAGTGGAGACGGAGTTTCACCATGTTGGCCAGGCTGGTCTCGAACTCCTGACCTCAGGTGATCCACCCACCTCCTCCTCCCAAAGTGTTGGGATTACAAGCGTGAGCCACTGCGCCCAGCCTTGGAGGTTAAAATTTTAAGAAACACTGATCCAGGTTATTGTGGGGAAGGGAAATACTGGAACTGGGAAATCCACTTAGGTAAGTAGCTACTGCATAATTAATCTGGGGGAGAAATTCCAAGGACTTGACAAATGTCAACGAAACTGAAAAGAAGATGATTGTCGCAAATACTGCTGTTGTAATAGAATAATCGACAAGGCCTGCTATGTAATTGAATATGGAATAAAAGGAAGCTGGGGTGTCAAAGAAGTCTTTTGGACATCAGTAACAAAGACAGGAGCAATGTGCAAGTCCAGATTTGTTCAGCTGAAGTTTGGTTGTAGGATTGGTTGGTGGAAAAGCCAGGTAAAAATGCTTATTAAGCATATGTAATCACAGGGCACCTGCCCAAAAGAGTGGTGGGAGCTAACCCTGAACTTCCGCATCAACTGCAAGAGGCTTTGCAGTAACAAAGAATGACAGGACTGAAGTTAAAAGAGAAGAGAAAAAGTACACAAAGAATGCCTCAAGAAATGCCTGTTTCCGATTAAGCGAAAACCTGGAAGGAATAGGGGAATGAAAGCCAAAGAAGCTTCAAGGTAAAATAGTTTGGGCAACAGCATCATGTGTTCAGAGATGTTAAGGAAGAGGAGGATGGATGAGCATATGTAAGGAATGGAAACCAGATTGCAAGTGGGTGAGGAGTGAGTAGAAACTTAAGTAGACACAGCTAGTTAGCACAGATTACTTTTTCAAGAAACATGGCGGTGGAGAGAAAAATAATTAAATGGTAGCTGAAGTATGGGTTAGGCTACGGGTGGAAACTTAGTAAAATATGTCTATAGACTGAGCTTACGGAAAGGAGCAAATTAAGAATGCAAGAAAAGGCCAGGCATGGTGGCTCACGCCTGTAATCCCAGCACTTTGGGAGGCCAAGATGGGTGAGTCACCTGACGTCAGGAATTGGAGACCAGCCTCCCCAACATGGCGAAACCCCAGTCTCTACTAAAAATACAAAAACTAGCCAGGTGTGGTGTCACACGCCTGTAATCCCACCAACTTGGGAGGCTGCGGCATGAGAACTGCTTGAGCCTGGGAGATGGAAGTTGCAGAGAGCCCAGATCACGCCATTGTACTCCAGCCTGAGTGACACAGCAAGACTCTGTCTCAAAAAATAAAAAAATAAAAATTTTTTAAAAAGCAAGAAATATATATGTCTGAGAAAACACGATTGGTCCTGGGGAGAGAAGGAGATAGGGTCAGGGCAGCATGTGAAAGCGTTCTCAGAAAACAAGGCGCTCTTTTTCTAAAAACGTGTAGACATTTTGAAGTGGAGGAAAGGGAACTTGGGTGTGATGACTTTGATTCTCAAAGAAAAGTAACAGATGAAACTTTTGCTGGGAGTACGAGGTAGAAATGGGGTTGGCTGTAGCTGCACAGCTGTAGGCAATTGGTTGGGAAGTCAACTAGGTATGAACCAAACGACTGTGAATAATCTGCCACAGGAGTAGAAAAAGGAGACAAAAAAAATCACCAAATGCTCTGCAGACCTAGATCAAGGTAGAAAGCATAAATTTTCATGAAACTGTGGAGCATTGTTATTTCTGTCAATACTCAGAAACCTGAGGAAAGAAAGTGAACAGTTTACCCACAATTGGAGAGCTGATGGACAGATCCATATCTTGAAGATGGAAGATTCTAGAATTGCAAAAGAAACCAGCCAGGCGCGGTGGCTCACGCCCGTAATCCCAGCACTTTGGGAGGCCAAGGCGGGTGAATCACAAGGTCAAGATATTGAGACCATCCTGGCCAACATGGTGAAACCCCGTCTCTACTAAAAAAAATACAGAAATTAGCTAGGCATGGTGGTGCGTGCCTGTAGTCCCAGCTACTCAGGAGGCTGAGGCAGGAGAATTGCTTGAATCCAGGAGGCGGAGGTTGCAGTGAGCCAAGTTCAGGCCACTACACTCCCGCCTGGCGCCTGGCGACAGAGCGAGACTCTGTCTCAAAAAAAAAAAAAAATTGCAAAAGAAGTTTATAAACCTCTGGAACAGGATGAGACTGGTCTGGGAAATAAATGAAGCCGGAAATTATTGGACTGAGAAGAGAGGTTTAATTCTGGCAGCTGATGTTGAGAGCAGATTCAAAAGTGAGAAAGTTGGAGTCACAGAGGATAGGCACTAGGAACTACACAGATCACAAAAAGTGTTTATTTTATGCTTTATAAGTGCTGCTCTGGGCAGTTACACAGTGTGTCTATAACGAGGAGTTATTTGACTTTGAACATGGCAATTAGAAGTCCTCATGGCAAGAGAAAACCACAGCTGGCCTCCCACAGCCAACACAAGAACCAGAAAATGGCAGGGAAAATGAAGGAATAAAGGTTGGGTTTGTTTCTTATTATAAAAGAAAAAATAATCATTCCTTAGCAGTCTTTTTTTTTTTTTTGAGACAGAGTTTCGCTCTTGTTACCCAGGCTGGAGTGCAATGGCGCAATCTTGGCTCACCGCAACCTCCGCCTCCTGGGTTCAGGCAATTCTCCTGCCTCAGCCTCCTGAGTAGCTGGGATTACAGGCATGTGCCACCATGCCCAGCTGATTTTCTGTATTTTTAGTAGAGACGGGGTTTCACCATGTTGACCAGGATGGTCTAGATCTCTTGACCTCGTGATCCACCCGCCTCGGCCTCCCAAAGTGCTAGGATTACAGGCTTGAGCCACCGCGCCCGGCCCCCTTAGCAGTCTTAACAAGTAAATGGAATATTTCACTGCGAGGAAAGACCTAAGGATACAAAATTACAAATGTTTAGTGTTGTCCCCTTTCCTCCAAGAGCAGAGATAGGAGACAGTTGAAGCAAACAAGGAATCTGTAAAAAGTACCTAGAAACTACAAATGTGATTAAAATCTAAACTTACAAATGCTGCTTTTTAAAAAATTTAATATCCAAAGGCCTGCTTTAGTAACATGCTATTCCTACCAGAAAATAACCCCAATACCCCCTTTGTCAGTAACATGCTCAAGTTGACCAGCCAACTCTTACCTCTAAGCCCATGTAGACAAGTGTCTGTCTTTTAAACCAAAGCCACAGAGATCAAGTGACTGCTAGTAACATGTGTCACCTGTTAACTAACCAGCGTCCACCTTTTCCAGAGGGTGGGCAGGGCAGAAACCCTGAAGTGTGATGACGGCCTAACCTCAGATCAGCATCTTTCTAAGAACCACTTCCCTCATTCCTTACTCAGAAGGAGATCCTTGACTTGTAATCCACACTATTTGTCTCAAATTTGGCACCCTGTGACCTGGATGTTTTTTTTTCCTGTAGCAAAACACACACGATCTATAAAACCATATATATATATAATTTTTTGTCTTTACATTTAAATATAAAAATACTATTTTGCTTTCTGTGATAAATTGAGGACCAAGCCATAAGAACCTTTTCTTCTTTCAAGGTAGGGGGATATCCATCAGCTTACACTGAGCTTTGTATTCAGAGCAGGGCATTTAGTCTCATGCCAGGCTAGTCCCACAAGCAAGAGACAAAGGCCATTCTCCCTGATTCCCAACCCTTACCTTCTCTCCTAATTTGCACTTTTAATAGAAAGGTTGGTTATAACCTCTTAAGAAAAGTTGCTGCCATGAGGGCAAGTCCTAACCTAACCAGAGGAACCCAGGTGTTCCCCTTTCAGCTACCTCAAAGAAAAGTCTACCTCCTGCAAACATGCTCTGCCCGGGTACCTATGCCCATTGGACAGGTGCACCCCACTAAATGGAAGCAGTGGTTATGTTTCCCCTCCCTCTTCCCCACTAATGCACTAAAAAGCTTCAGTGATAGGGAAAAAAAGGAGGGTAGGTGTGAAGAAATTAATAACTTGACCCCCCTATCCCAGCCAAACAAAGAAAGAAAGATTAACTGGGTACAAGGGGAAAAAACAAAAAACCTTGATATTCCACCCTTTGAGTTACAATTGGGACAACTGGGAGAGGGGGAAGAGTTGGAGTGGGATAAAGAATGAGGAGGGGCTCACAGCTGGAGGTCTAGTCCACTTAGTTTTTGTACTGGAAGGGCTCCTCGCTGGTTTCATTGAGAAGATGCATTCAGATGAGGGCTTCTGAATTCAGAAAAGGGAATGCAGTTGGCAGAGGGGCGATGGTCTTCAAAGTGGCCCTTCTTCTCCTGGCCAACAGTCTGGGGAATGCGTATGCTGGCGCTACGATTGGTTACACCAGCAGAAAAGTCATTGATGTTGGAGGTTTGATGGGCTCTAGTTAGGCTTCAGGCATTGTCCAGGTCTCCCTTGGGATCATAGGTGTGGATGTGGTACTGGTGCCACTTGCTTAGTTTCTCGATGGCCTCCTCAATGTACTTCAGACAGTTCTCCTCCCACGTGGCCTTGGTGCTAAAGTTGATATGCAGCCTGAACCATTCCAGTTTCTGGGAATGGGCTTAGGATCAAAGATTGCCATCACTCCAGAGTCTTCACATACACGATGCAAGATGAAATGGGCTACCCAGAGATGATCTCCCATGCTGATTCCTTCACACAGTGGGAAATACCCATTGGGCACACATGACCTTGGTATTAGTCCCTGCTTGTATCTTGACTCCAGCATACAAGCAGGCCCAGTAACGGGCCTCCGCAATGTTCCTGCCATAGGCTCTATCTGCTCCCACATTACAGTAATATGGACCCTGGGGTCCCGGGAAGCTGTTGGAAGGCCAACCAAAGGCATGCCCATCGGTTCCCATGAGGGCATATTCCTGTTCCATGCCAAACCAGGGGTGCTGGTTACTCACCATTTACAGGTGTGCCTCAAATTGGTCTCTGCAGGCTTTCGATCATACTTGAAAACTTCACACACAGCACCAGCTTGTTAGGGTCCTTACGGAAGGGGTCTTGAAACATGGCAGCAGGCACGAGATACATGTCACTGTCGGAGCCTTCAGACAGTAAAGTACTAGAGGTATCGGAATTCCACTCAGGCCACTTTTCCACACACTTGGGCTCACGGTCCAAGGTCTGGGTCCTGCAGCACAGTCCTTCCCCAGTACCATTGTTCCTGAAATACATGGCCTGGACTTTCTCATCCTGAGGCAGAGGGCCATGTACACCTGCTTGATGCCTTTCTTTAAGTGGGAACTTGCTGAGGTGGTCATGGTGAAAGGTGTTCTGGTGCCCAGGTAAAGGTAGGCCACCAAAGTGAGGTGAAGAGAGGAGAGAATGCCACTGTGCTGCTCACATGCTGCGCTCTTCTCCCACTCTTGACTCTACCACGAAAAGTTATCAATAAATAAAACGTGTAGGCCAGGCGCGGTGGCTCATGCGTGTAATCCTAGCACTTTGCGAGGCGGAGGCAGGCGGATTGCCTGAGCTCAGGAGTTCGAGACCAGCCTGGGCAACACGGTGAAACCCCGTCTATACCAAAATACAAAAAACTAGCCAGGTGTGGTGGCATAAGCCTGTAGTCCCAGCTACTCCAGAGGCTGAGGTGAGAGAATCACTTGAACCTGGGAGGCAGAGGTTGCAATGAGTCAAGATGGTGCCACTGCACTCCAGCCTGGGCAACAGAATGAGACTCCATCTCAAAAAAAACAAAAAATGTGTAAAAATGTATCTGTGGGTATATACTTATATTTGTAGATAGATATACATCTTCAAATCAATAACTAAAAGATTAATAGCTCAGTCAAAATGAAAAAGGATAGATAAGGTGAAAATAGATTTGTATGTATCTGCAAAATATGTACAATCAATAGAGATTCAAATACTATAGTAATTAGAGAAATGCAATTTTTTAAAAACTAAGATATTGTGGTGTTTTGTTTTTGTTTTTTGTTTTGTTTTGAGACAGAGTCTCATTTTCTTGTTCTGTTACCCAGGCTGGAGTGCAGTGGCGCAATCTCGACTCACTGCAACCTCCACCTCCCGGGTTCAAGCAATTCTCCTGCCTCAGTCTCCTGAGTGGCTGGGATTACAGGCACACGCCACCATGTCTGGCTAATTTTTTTGTATCTTTAGTAGAGGTGGGGTTTTACCATGTTGGTCAGGCTGGTCTCAAACTCCTGACAGCAGGTAATCCACCCATCTCAGCCTCCCAAAATGCTAGGATTACAGGCGTGAGCCACTGTGCCCTGCCTAAAAACTAAGATACTGTTTTTGCCAATTAGCTCAACAAACATTTCAGAGACTCTGAGTAACTTATATTGTTGAAGCTGTGAAAAAAAAGAAAAGGCACTTTCATGGGAGTATAAATTACTATAACGTTTTTAGTGTGTAATTTGGTAATATCTATTAAAATCCCAAATGTGATCCTACAACCTAGCATTTACATGTTTAATATTTGGAAGAATTTATTCCACAGAAACATTTCCATGAGTGCCCAGAGAAATAGATATGCAAGGCTGTCACTCCAGCCTAGGTTAGAGAGTGAGACTCCATCTCAAAAAAAAATACACACACACACACACACACACACAAAGGATATTTACTGAAATGTTGCTATAATAAGAAATTTGAAACAATGTGAAACTCCACCAATAAAGAAAATGGAGTGCTTGAGTACTCAGCAGCCATTAAAAAGAATAAAGCAGATTATTTATTTTTGAAATGGAGTCTGTTTCTATCGCCCAGGCTGGAGTGCAGTAGTGTGATCTTGGCTCACTGTAACCTCCGCCTCCTGTGTTCAAGTGATTCTCCTGCCTCAGCCTACTGAGTAGCTGGAATTACAGGCATGCGCCACCATCCCCAGCTACTTTTTGTATTTTCAGTAGAGACAGGGTTTCACCATGTTGGTCAGGCTGGTCTCAAACTCCTGACCTCAGGTGATCTACCCACCTCAGCCTCCCGAAGTGCTGGGATTACAGGAGTGAGCCACCACACCTGGCCAAAGCAGATTTTTACATACAAAAATGGAAAGATGTCCAAGATATACTGTTAAGTGAACAAAATATAAGATTTTTTAAAAAATAATAGTTATAGGCCAGGTGTGATGGCTCCCACCTGTAACTCCAGCACTTTGGGAGGCCAAGGTGGGCAGATCATGAGGTCCAAAGATTGAGACCATCCTGGCCAACATGGTAAAACCCCATCTCTACTAAAAATACAAAAATTAGGCCAGGTGCAGTGCCTCATGCCTGTAATTCCAGCACTTTGGGAAGCCAAAGTGAGCAGATCACCTGAGGTTAGGAGTTCGAGACCAGCCTGGACAATATGGAGAAGCCCCATCTCTACCAAAAAGTACAAAAATTACCAGATGTGGTGGTAGGCACCTGTAATTCCAGCTACTTAGGAGGCTGAGGCAGAATTGCTTGAACTTGAGAGGTGGAGGTTGCAGTGAACTGAGATCGCACCATTGCACTCCAGCCTGGGCAAAAAGAGCAAAATTCAGTCTCAAAAAATAAATAAATAAAAATACAAAAATTAGCTGTGCGTGGTGGCACACACCTGTAGTCCCAACTACTCAGGAGGCTAAGGCAAGAGAATCGTTTGAACCCGGGAGGCGGAGGTTGCAGTGAGCTGAGATCGCGTGATTGCACTCCATTCTGAAACAGAGTAAGACTCCATCACAAAAAAATAATAATAATAATAGTTATAACAAATATAGAAATTAAAGCTGGAGAAATCTACCAAACTGTTAATAATGTATCTCTAGAGGGTAAAATTAATGGGAGATTTCTATCTTTTTATATTATTCCATAATGTTGGAATGTGATATGACATTACATTTATAAGTACAAAAAGCAAAAAGATACAATAATTTTGTTTTAAGGTCCATTGCTAAATAAATAGTAGCTATTATAATGACCTACAAAGCCTAGTTTTTGTTTGCCCTACCCTGGAAAGGGATAGATATTACCTTTGATTTGTCTGAACTTTTCCACGCAATTTGAGATGGTATGGTCAAATGCAAGAAGAACTTGGAAACTGAAAATGTTTTTTAATTACTATATTTGTTATTATTTAAAGAAAAAGTGTTTGAGGGTCAGGAATAAACTTCATTCTCCATTCTGTTCCAAGCACCTAGCGCAATGATTGACACATAGTAGGCATTCAGTAAATATTTATTATGAATAGTACATCTTTCATAAGAGTTACTTTATTTATTTTATTTTTATTTTTATTTTTACATTTTTGAGATGGAGTCTCAATCTGTCACCCAGGCAGGAGAGCAATGGCACAATCTCAGCTCACTGCAACCTCCGTCTCCTGGGTTCTAGTGATTCTCCTGCCTCAGCCTCCCGAGTAGCTGGGATTACAGGTGCGTGCCACTATGCTTGGCTAATTTTTGTATTTTTAGTAAAGACGGGATTTCATCATGTTGGCCAGGCTGATATCAAACTCCTGACCTGTGATCTGCCTGCCTCGGCCTCCCAAAGTGCTGGGATTACAGGTGTGAGCCACAGTGCCTGGCACCACACCTGGCTAATTTTTGATTTTTAGTAGAGATGGGGTTTCGCCACATTGGCCAAGCTAGTCTTGAACTCCTAACGTCTAGTGATCCACCCACTTCAGCCTCCAGAAGTGCTGGGATTATAGGGGTGAGACACCATATCCGGCCGGGTTTTGACTTTTTAAATCAAATGGGTCAAGTAAATTCTTCTGAGGAAATCGGGAAAACATTTTAAGCTTAAAGCATCACTGATCCTGTTGACAAGTAATTCTCAAACTTAAGCATATATCACAATCACATAGAGAAGCTGGTTAAAACAGAGATGCCACAGGCAGTAGTGGTCCCAGCTATTAGGGAGGCTGAGGCAGGAGGATCACTTGAGCCCAGGAATTTGAGACTGTAATGCACGGTGATTCGCCTATGAATAGCCACTGCACTCCAGCCTGGGCAGCATTGTGAGACCCCATCTCTTAAAACACATACATACACACCCACAGAGGCTAACACCCCCAACATTTCTTATTCATTAGGACCAGGATCAGGGTCCAAGAATTTGCGTAGACCAAAAAGCTGGCTACTGATCCATCCTCCACCACTCACGTGGTCCTACTTAGAAGTTTTTACCTGAGCTTTTAATGATGGCTGACCCAGCCCTGGCAGAGATGTGGAAATATTCCTCCACTGATCTAGGCTCCAATTTAATCTAGTGGGATCATTTTCGCAATATGGGAGTGTCTGAAACTTGATCCTGCTTCAGTTGAACTATTCATGAAGCTTCTGAGCTCAGCGTGGGAGTAGGGAAGGGAGAGAGCTACCAACCACCCTCCTTTTGTCAGAAGAGGCTGATAAAAACAGAGGCTGCCGAGAGATGTACTGGAGTAGGAGAAGGCTGCCCTGGCGACAGGCGAATCTAGCCTTGGATATCCACTCAAAAGGTAAGTGACTACCCACATCGCCTTCCTGGTGGAGTCTGCACTGGGAGAAATTCCAACAATTCTTCTGAGTTTAATAGCACCTTCCTATGAACTTGAGAAATCATGGGGAAATGACTGAAGGAAGTAAAGAGCTTTATTATTATTATTTTTATGTTTAGAGTTAGGATCTTGCTATGTTGCCCAGACTGAACTCAAACTCCTAGGCTCAAGCAACCTTTCTGTCTCAGCCTGAGACCTTTTTCATTAGAGCTTTTTTTATTTTATTTTATTTTATTTTTTTATAAAGACAGAATTTCTCCATACTGGTCAGGCTGGTCTTGAACTCCTGACCTCAGGTGATCCTCCCACCTTGGCCTCCCAAAGTGCTGGGATTACTGGGGTGAGCCACAGCACACAGCCTTCATTAGAGCTTTTTAGGAAAAGCTAAACTTTCATCTGAGAAAGGATGTCTTGAGCAGAGTCTCTTTTTGAGGAAAGTTGGGGGGGTTGGCTCTGATTGGTCCTATTAGCCAGAGAGTGTCTTTGATTTTAAGGATTATAGTTTTTAAAAAAAACCTTCATTATTGTGTTTCTTCACCATCATCTCTCTCTTTGCACTAAACTTACTGCCAGGAGAGAAAAACTGGGTCTTTTTGGTATTTCAGTCTCTTCAAGAATGACAGGGCATTGCAGGTGGGAAGAATAAAGTGATCTGGAAAAGATACACATAGAAAGAAAAATCTTTCTGAAACTGAAAGCGGAACTGGTGTTGCCTAGGATTTGTAAATGCTGATATTCTGATTCTCACTCTAGCAGGTCCAAATTTAAGATAAACCAATGGCTTCACACCACACTTCCTTTCTCCTACTTTAATCCCAAGAAGTGCTGCTACTCATCTCAAACAAAACGCAAACCTTAAAAGCACTTAAAAAAAAATTCAAGGACAGGTATTCTCGTTGGAAAACAGATTTTACCATTTTTGAAAGTGTATTTCGCAAGAAAAGCTATTTTGCCTAAGAAGTAAACTTGTTGTGACCTTTTCCCCATTTTGAAAACATTTTACCTTTTTTTTTTTAAACAGAGTCTCACTCTGTCACCTAGGCTGAAGTGCAGTGGCATGATCTTGGCTCGCTGCAACCTCTGCCTCCCGGGTTCAAGCGATTCTCCTGCCTCAGCCTCCTGAGGAGCTGGGACTACAGGCATGCACCACCACACTTGGCTAATTTTTTATATTTTTAAATAGAAACAGGGTTTCACCATATTGGCCAGGCTGGTCTTGAACTCCTGACCACAGGTGATCCCCCCCATCTCAGCCTCTCAAAATGCTGGATTACAGGAGTGAGACACTGCACCCAGCCCTAATTCTGTATTTTAAATCTTTTATTCTTTCCTTAAAGAGAAACCCCCAGGTTGTATA